CACATCTGCCGTGTGGATTAAAGCATCGCTTACATTCGATTTGTTTTCCTCGTCCATTAAGGTTTTCGAACATTTCTCGCATTACTTTTGTTGTGAATGTCGCAGAATGCCGGTCGAGCGGATTCCTCTTGCAATCTTGGAGGTAGCCGAGCTTAGGCGTTCCCACAGTTGAGGCTATTATTAACACAAGCATACAAGTACCTCATACTACGTTGCCTTTGTGGTAATGTCTTTACAAGCCGAATTTGTGAAATTCCACATACACTTCTAATGCGTCAACCTCTTGTACGATTAGTGATCCATTTTGTACCGCAATTGCGCGTCATATTAGGCCACCAGCAAATGGCAGAGGTGCTCTCCTGTCTCAGGGATAACTTCCTGCTTATCATCTTGCCGTCGCTTATTCACCACTGCTGCTGTCTTCTCGCTTGCATTGTTTCGGTGAAGTCTTATCGTAATTTTTATATTTTTATAGTTATTAGCGATTTTAATACCAAAGTTTGTGATTGCCAGTTGTGCTAGCCTATAAGTTCCGCGTTCTAGGCCGAAAGAAGAGGACCAACGTGCACTCGAACTAACCAACACACTAAGAGTGGAGATGGTGTTTGGCTGAGTCGCAGTGTGGTGCATCTCATCTCTTCTTGAACGTGCGGAGGCGAATGCATTTACGAAACTGTTAAACTACTCTGCATTCGTTTAAAGGAGCACCTAGTCAGTAAAGTTAAAGTTAAACTAAACACTCCACTAGGTGCACATAGGTCACAGAGACATAATGAAGAAAATTTTGAAGTAAAACACACTATCTTCGCATCTATGTTTATCTTGAAACTTCTTCTCTAAATCTAAGCCTTAATCTTAATCTCTAAGTTTATTTTTGGTTTAATTTGGTTTAAGGTATCGTTGTTTTTTTCTTGAGCTTATTGGTATTTCGCTGACTAAAAAGGTGAAGGATAAAGCTCTCGGCGTTGATCAACCCCTGAGGGATGTGCCACGCATTCGACTTCATTAAGCGTCGTTAGTGGTGATTGAATGCGTATCTGACGTTTACAATGACTCGCGGTGGCCTACCGATGTATCGAGCCAGTGCTGTTATCCTCCTAGACAAGTCTGGTAGCAATTTCCCCGGAGGGATAGGAGGTTTGGTGGGCCATGGACGCCGAGATCGATTCCACGTGTGTGTCGCAGTGGCGCTTCCAACCAGTGCGCCACACGACCCCTAGCCCACGCGCTTTGACTGACTAAATGGCAGTTAACCAAACCTTACCTGGTTCCTAAAAAGGCCAAACCCACCTAAACGTTTGCTAGAGCTAATAAATAATATAATAAAAATGTAGTCTGTGCTCATCAGGTAAACGACGAATTATTGATCAACGTCGAGATTAATAGAAAGTCGGTCTTGATAATTGGTAGTTTTGTAGTCTTCACCACAAAGTTGTTTTGTAGCCGGTTTTATCGGCCCATAGTCGTATCAAACTAAGCGAGATGGATGTATGGTTTTATTAGTTCTCCCTTCGAAAATCCGACGTGTTATTTCGACGGAGAAGAATCGAGCCACACTTTGTCCGAACAAGATAAGACCTGAACACCTGAAGGGTCTTCGGCTAATTCTCATTAACACACTGGCTCCGCTTTTCACACGCTACTCAACAGAACATAAGGTTCCTATTCAACGGAAGACCAGCAAGACTGCGTTGTTGTGCAAAAGGGGTCACCTCCGCGATATGAGCAAATATCGCCCCATCCTATTTGCTGTCCGTAGTCTATGGGCTCTAGTCATCCTAAACTAGATTAACAGATCACTGGACGAAAGGCGGCCATGTGTGCAATCAGTGTTACGAAAAGTATTCGGTACGATAGACCACATCCATACTATAGCAAGAATCACTGAAATATCGCGGTAGTACTAGGTGGTGCTCAGTATGACCTTCACCGATTTAAAGAAAGCCTTTGCTTCAGTTGAGATAGATCCTGCCGCGGAAGCCCTGGATAGCCTGTGTATCCCTATTCAGCATACAAAGAAATTTCGTGAGCTATGTAAAAGATTCGCAGCAAATGTACTACCACTCTACAACGAAGTTTGCATCGATGTCTAAAGATGGGCTAGGCAAGGCGTTGCCATTTCCCCAAAATTATTTACCGCAACCATCGAGAACGTCATGCGAATACTGGAATAGGACAACATGGTAGTGAAAATCGATGGCCGACAATTAGACCATTTCCGTGCTCATGACATACTTCTTATTATCACTAAGCATTAGCCAGGCGGAGCGAATTCTAGCCGACTTTGACGACGCTTGTGGCAAGCTCGGTCTTCGAGTAAATCTCACGAAAACGATGTTTATGAGGAACGGATTGGTTACGTATGCCCCATTCACCCTTAACGGAATGAATATATCCGAATGCTCCAGTTACGTCTATCTGGCTCGAGAAATCAAAACAACGGTAATGATTTGGCTTAAGTGTTGAGCAAAAGGAAGCGAGCGGCTTGAAGAGCTTTCAAGAGCATCGAGAATGTAGTGAAGAAAACAAGGGACACTCCATCCACTCCGTGCTCACCTTTTCAACTCCACTATTCTTTCTGCTGTTATGTGTGCCTCGGAAATCTGTTTGCTACGTAATCATGATGAAAGATCACTCAACATTTGAACTCATAGTAGAAAGGTCGATGGTCTGAACATCTGTTATGGAGCAATTGAGAGAGGGGATAAGAAGTCGAACCTATGCCAACAATAAAAAAAACAAAGACGTGTTTCTATAAGCCAAATTGTTGAGAGTAAGATGACCCGGATATATAATGAGTATGAACGAAAAACAATAACCAAGAGCTGTATGTGATTGTGATTCCTGAGGATATCAAAGGAAAAGTAGGAAGACCATCGACCCGATAGTCATAGTTTTCCACGAAAACCCTGAGAAAAAAGTATGACGCTCAAGAAATCCATGCAGCAAGCGGAAATCACTAGGCCACTCTTACACGCGGCAGAAATGAAAGGTTCACTGGAGCCTGATCGATTCACTCCACGATCTATGATGATATTGGCGGAACTTAAAGTTCTCTGACTGTTAAATCAATGGAAACATTTGACCATCTTCTTTTGTGCAGAGCAAATGACAAAGCAGTCAACTATAGATCTACAGTAGAATGGTGTCCGGAGATCGATGAGAGGTGCTTCCACTGTAGACATTGGTGCATCTACACAGCAAATAATTGGTCTAACTTTGAATACTGATAGATCGGTGAACGTCAGATCATCAGCGGGTAGTAACTTATGGGTTTTGGTAAGTACTGATATCGATATCTGAGTAGTATATTGTAGTAGTTTGAATATATCTTTCTACTTCTGTTCAGCAAACACGAGGTGCTATTTTATTTCTTTATTTACGCACAAGCTGACGTTTCGGCGGATTTCGCCTTTCTCAGAGCCGCTTTCTATGAGTCTTCCACTGAGTATGTCGCGTGAAGACCGACCGCACAGAATTCACACGGAAGCGTAATGTAGTAGTAGTTTGAGTATAAATATTCAATAAGTGAGTATGTGAAGCACCAACAATCGATCCCCTCCATGGCACTACCGTAGATTTACTGATATGCTTTGTCATTTGCTTTGCATGAGAAGAAATGGACAGATGATTTGAGCTATTGAACCAACAGCCAGAGTACATAACATTCACCTGAAAGAAACCGAAAGAAAACTGGCTTTCACTTTTAAAAGTTCAAATTAACCTGTCCGAAAACGGCTACATCATGAAGTGGTACCGAAAGCCAACTGACAAGAACATAATTGTCCATTGCCTCTCCTCTCATCCCTCGCACACGAAAAGAGCGCTTTTTAGAAATATGTTTCGAACAGCCACCACCATGTGCATAGGAAGAGAGCAGAAGGAAGAGTCCTTGAAATTGGTACAGCGAATAGCCATTTCGAATGGCTTGGAAACGGTACACTCTAAATGGGTGTCGACGAAAAACAACGACTCCAAGCGATTTGTCTAGCGAGAATAATGTCAGTTTTCTTTTGCTCTTCATTTTCAAAAAATTGGCAGCAGCAATAAAATGTTGCTTAGAGAGGGCCCGGTATAGAGAAATCGGCAGCAGTGATTGAAATATCACCAGTCACACTGGGTCGCCAGCTAGTTCAGCTACTTGTATAACGGTCCATATACAGTGCAAAATTGCACAGTACACTCTAACGGTAGAGACGGTGATTTTCATGAGTTCGGATACGGCTATCTCATTCCTTTTAAAGCGTGCGGGAACGAAAACATAGGCGAAACAGGTAGACAACTCAGCGTCTATAAAATGAACACTTTAGTGTGAGAGGCACATTACGCTTCCATGTGAACTTTGTGCGGTTGATCTCCACGTGAAATACTCAGTGGAAGACTCATAGAAACCGATGAGTGTGCGAAGAAGCTATTTTATTTTCGACGCTATTGAAGCTTTGGTTTAATATGTTCTCTTTTTCGCTACGGAGGTGTTTAGCTGGGTAGATTGCAGTCAGGCCCTGAAGAAGGCGAAGTCCGACGGAACTTCAATTGTTGTAAATAAATATGCACTGACATTCTCGTGTGTGCTAATCAAGAAAAAGCGATCTATTCATCAACGCCGATGTTAATAGAAAAATGGTTCAGGGAATTCCGCTTATTATTCCAGTTGTTGCTTGAGTAATTCTTCTTTTTTTATGAAAGTCGTAGAATGCTGGCCGAGTAGACTCTTCCTGCATTTTTGTAAATAGCCCAACAACGGCGTTCCTACGTGGATTTGGGGAGATCGGTGGGGAAAGGGGTCGAACAAGCCCCTTTGCTTCTTGATCGACGGTATCATTAACCACTGCGCTGAGTTGATTCATATCATCCTATATGAAGTTTGTATGCAAAAAATTAGACCAATCATTGCTTTATAATAAAGTCTCTTGTATTTCAGGTTTCGAATCTTTAAGCTGTATAATGTTTTGCACCACTTTTTGAAAAATATTTATTGTTAGCGTACGAAAAATTCTAAATCATTCAAACCAAAAACGTAGACTTCTGGCTGGGCAAGGGCAGTAAAAAGCATCTGGTCCTGGGCGCCCGTCTATACCGGGTCGCCCTGGACTTCCATCTAACCCCGGCAAACCATCTTTACCACGATTTCCCGGAGGTCCTGGTGGTCCGTCTACACCATTTTCACCGTCTTCACCATCTTTGCCCGGAGGACCAGCAAGACCAATTTGACCTGGAAATCCAATTACTCCGTCAAGACCAGGACTGTAAACAGTACCGGGCGCTCCAGGGCGACCAGGTATGCCAACCATTCCGACTAATCCCTCCTTTCCGGGATCACCAGGAGGACCTCTCGGTCCGATCTCACCAGGTGCACCTGGAAGGCCTTGAGGCCCCGGTGGACCTTCAGGACCTTGTGGACCAGGCTCACCCGGTGGGCCTGGTGGGCCCGGCGGTCCAGGTGGGCACTTGATGCATCCGTCGCCAAAGTAGCTCATGGTGATTATGCTTAATCCACTAAAGCCAGGCTCACCAGGTGAACCATCTTCGCCTGGAGTGCCAGGTGGACCCGGCAGACCTGGCGGACCGGGTGGTCCCGGCGGACAGTTGGCCGCTCTCATTGCACAATTGCAGTGGTCAGCAAAAGTTTCGCTTTCGCTCCTTTTCTTCCTTCCAACTAGAAGATGTGGAAATGATTGTGTAGAATTAGCGCGAGAAACGTGATTCGCCATCAGAACGTCCCATGCATCATCTGCAGTGCGCTAAACAAGAGCTTTTGAAAAATATTATTCCATGTACGATCTAAGACGCTGCGCTATTTTTAGCTATTTTTGCTGTGCATCTAACAAATTGCTGACTACCTTGTAAAACTTACTTGGAATTCTATCATTTCACTGTGAATTTCCTGCCAAAGACTGTTCATGTCGTTCACAACCGTCCCAATGGTCATCAACACCACCATTGTTATAAAGGCTGCAGCACCGGCAACGAACACATTTGAATTTTTCATCTTGAAAGAACTTCCTTCACTGGATTTTTCTCATATCCGTCAATGTTAACTTAAGTCCACAAAAATTTCATGATTATCCAGTTATGACTAAATGAAACTCAACGCTTGTATGAGAATAACATGGTGCGTGGAAACGTGGTGCGAAAAGACGTTGTTGTTGAAAGTCTTCTCATTGCGTTTTCCCACTTGTTCTCAACATATTACTAGACATGTACTAGCATATAGTAGAAAAATAAAAACCGTTATCCGTATGGAAATCTGAGGATCAAAACTTAGCATAACAAAGATTACCATTAAACGGTCACGATGGAACTCAGTTCAGCTAAGAGGTCTTCGAAATCACATTCTGTATCTAAGGAAGAGTAAACAGTTATTTTTTTCAAAACGCAGTACCGCAGATGTCTGCGGCAGGGATCAAACACGCTTTTACCCATTCCAAGAGTTAATGCTTTCACCACCACACCATGCAGGTCTTTCGTTACGTCATTCTCTCAGTCAGTTTTCTGTCTACCTCTGCCATCAACAATTACTCGTCAACGACATTGACCTGGAGAGCACAAATCTGATGCACGGCTGATGGCATTAATAGAGAGAAAACTTGACACTTGACACTTCCTCCCTCATCCTCACTGGTTGTGCGACCCCAGCATAATCACCATTTATCGGAGATTTTCTGGTTAAGCCACTGTGGTTCTCTAGAGTCCCGAGGTCAGCCTGGCCAAAATCTGCCTCAGTTATCACCACTGCGGGCAGTCGCAGCCCTTATAGATCAGAGCGAGATTGGCCACCATGCGACTTTGATACCAGGACGGTGGCGGATCCTCGTATTGTTTTACCCTTAGCTAGGCTTCCTGATGGAAACGCCGGAGTCCTTCTCAGCTTGGGAGACCCTGCCGTGAGGACGAATCCCTCCGCTGAATATCGCAGTCCGACACCCTGGAACACCTCCCAGCCACGATGAGGCGGTAAACCATTGGGAGGAGAGAGAAAACTAGCTGAAAGAAAGGCGAAACCAAGGACCCGTATGGTGCGCTATTTAAGTCGTTAGGCTCTGAAAGACCAACATCGTGTTCGATCTCCATTGCAGACACTTGCGATTCTGTGTTTTGCAAATACCTTAGCACCGTTGTGGTGGTATTCACATAACACTCCGCCGCGAAAAATTATAGTAGGGAGTAAATGGAAATTTAACACTATGACAATTTTTCTGCTGATAATCTAATACCTGCTCAGTGGAAAACTTATTAAACGATTAACTGAGCTTAATTAATTCACAAGGGCGCGTGTGGCTAGCGGTGGGAGGCGCTCTGCGACACATACGTGGAATCGATCCGCCTCGATAATGACGTCACTAGGGATTTCGGGTGCTCTCGGAGAGAAGACTTTTGAACTGTTCACAATTTAAATTACTTAGTTCCATTGATATGCCAGCACAAGGTTGTTATCAGCATTTATTCTGCTAACGCTTAGAGATCAGACGATTCGAGATTGTTATCTTCTTCACAGCCGATTCAAGTCGATGTCTGTAGTCGTTCGCCTTCTCGATGTACCCTTTCAGGCTCTGAAGAAGGCGATGCTGCCGAAACGTTAGCTACTGTCGTGCTGTATGTGTTTTTGGCACGGAACTAAGCGTGTGCTGCATAACAACCTCGCGATCTCTGAAGAAGAAAACGACACAAAACTCCCATCTGCGACTGAGAACGACTTCTTCTTATTGCTATGATGTTCGATTACTCAGTGTTCAGAAAAAAGGTTTTTATTGGCGTATTAATAATCCTTGGTTAAGAGAATACAGTTTTAGGCTAAGCACAAAATAGTTCCAACTAAACAGGATTTCCACGATGTCGACATTACTCAATTGATACAGAATAAAAAATTTTTTTCTTCAATAAGCAGACACGAGGTTGTTAATATAGAATTTATTAGAATACAATAGCTGACGTTTCGGCGGTTTCGCCTTCTTCAGAGCCTGGAAGAGTCAAATTGAGATGTGATCTACTCAGCCAAACACTTTCATAACCCCAGCAGATAAAACTTGACAAATCGATTTGCATTCGCATAATGCATTATTAAACGTCAGCTATTGTATTCTAATAAATTCTATATTAACAACCTCGTGTCTGCTTATTAAAGAAAAAACACTGAATTATCAATTAATGCCGAGGTTAACAGAAAGTCGGTCTTGAGAATAAAAATTGTTGAAAAATTTGGAACAGAGCATTTTCACCAGCTCAACGGTGCACAGAAGAGGCGGAGTATGCATTTGATTCATTCCGATGAGAAGAACGAAGATGAAGAAAAATATTTCAAAGCCGACTTTCTCTTCACCTCGGTATTGCTAATCAAAATGTATTCTTTCTTCGATGAGCTTACACGAGGTTGATGAACAATTTTTATTCGGCTAACATTTCGACGTATTCGTCTTTATAAGTACCGATGATCCGAGTCCATAGCCCGAGGAAAGCAAGTGAATATCACTGGACAATCACCACTATCAGTCATCAGCATCATGCATAAAAGGGAATCACTGAGCGAGTATGCCTCATTCGGGAAATCGTCAGCTGTGGAGGGCACAACTCGATACTAAGGCGAAAACGCTACATCGAGACGAAGAAGAACGATGAACTTTCGCTTCGGATCATCGGTTATGATGAAGACGAAGACGTCGAAACTTTAGTCGATAAAAATTGCTTATCAACCCCGTGTAAGCTTATCAAAGGAAAAGTAACGAAAAATGACCATGAGTCACCTATTTTGTACCTTATGTTAGTGTTCGAAGGAAGGAATGACTAACTGATTTTCACCCTATCTTCACTCTTCAAGTGTCAGTCAGTAGTGATCGAAACAAATTCTGAATGCGGTAGACGAGGATATTACATCTTTACCAGTGCATAAGCATTTATATCGCCCTCATCAGAAAACACAGTGCTAAAAGTCGGTTTCAGAGAAGGCAAAGCAGAAGAGCAAACCATGTACTTTAACTAAAGTGATAAATATGGCATATAGCCAGTATGACGTACAACATTACGGATCTTCTTGCATGCAGATGGCTATCATGAGGAATCGTTGTGTTTGAGGTTGCCGTCGGGCAGAACAAGAAGTAAACCATAGTCATCAACTGGTGAACGATAAATGGAGGCGGTAAATGCCGATTCTGAAAAGGTGAAACGGTTTCAGTTATAAAACAAAAATTACGACTAACTAAACCATATTTTGTTTTTTTTCGCTTTTCGCAGTTTTCTACGGCGGAACGTGTGGAGATGGATGTGATTGAAACCGGTCTCGAATTGCAATCCGTACGTGGAAAATATGAAGGAAAGTCATCTCACCCTGTACAAACACTCACAAATAAAACAGTCGTCACACTTTTTCTTCTTTTTCTTACCGCTTAGATATTCTTGTCCAAATTCCATATAATGACTTCTATAGTATACAGTACCTCGATCAAGTTCATAAAAATTCGCCATCTGAATAACATCAGTCTAAACGTGTCTTAACACAGCGTGCGAAATGCATTGTGTGCTATGCATGCGTGGGAAAAAAACTGGATGAAGCGCATTTCCTTTTCAGTGGTTTATTTTGCCACACAGCGCTTTCTGCAGTGGTTTTTATATTCGATCGATAGCTTGTTCAGAATAAGTGCTCTTTTTGTCACTGCAGACGAAAACTTATTCTCTACAGTTAGTATTTTTGTAAAAACCCTTTTCCGGACGAGTCCATCAACCAGTAATTTGGTTGGTAATTGACTCTTGTTTCAATTCGAGTCCCTATAATGAATCACAGCTACCGCGTAGAAAGGGTGGTGTTTAAAAAACAAAGATAAAGAAGTTACAGACTATTTCCAAATGCCGACATGAGCGCGTTTGGACTATAGTATTTTATTTTTTTTATATGACCCGTCTTCACGTCTACCGTGCTGATCCCAGCGCTTCTCAGATTCGATTCGTTTCCTCGCATCCATTATCGAGGAAGGTCTTAAAACTTTTACATGTGGCTTCGGCTGCTGCTTGAGGATTTTCATTTCATCTTGAATGTCGTAAAACGGTGGTCTAGCAATTCTCCTTGAAGTTCTGAGATAGCAGGGCTGCAGCGTTCCCGATTAGATTGCAGAGAATGGTTTTTTTCTTAGACAAGTCCGGTACCAATTTGCCGACCCCGGAGGGTGAGAGGCTTGGTTGGTCCAGAGTGGAATCGAACCAGTGGTGCCGGACATTCCTACCACTCTGCTATCCGCCCTTTTATGTGGGCCATAGTAACGCATAGAAAACAGTAACTTATCAACCAACGATATAGCAAGTTTCTTCTACAATTATGTGACGTTCGAAACATCTCAAACCTCCATTTATTGAAAAATTACTGTCTATTTTCAAAAAATTAGCAAGTCCGTAAACGCTGGAAGTCAGGCGTCGTCCGATGCGGCAGCCCCAATGAAACCAGTGTCCGGCATCATGCCTTTGATCTTCTTTAATCAATAATTGAAAATCATCGATATTATTGTTGAAAAGTCGAAAGACGATAAGCCTATGAAAAAAGTAGTTGAACGTGTCCAACATTTATTTCTAATAACGCGAAATTCTAGTTTCCCTCTAACCCTTTTCATTTTTTGGTACAGTTAGAAATGAAAAGCTTTAGATTTAGTGGTTCTTGCACTGCACTTTATCACGAGAGCTACTAAAGAATGGCAATCGTTATTTGCTAGAGAATGAGTAAGAACTTGTTAAAAACGTCAAACCGAATGGACGGGAAGAATAAAAAGCGTCAAACCGGATGGACGAGGTTTCATTGCGGTGCAGTACAGAAGTAATGAATGTTGTTTGAATTGTCTAACCAGTGGAGGGGTTTTTAATAAAATATCATGCCACTCATTACTAGTATTAATAAAGCACATAAAACATTTCGATAGGTGTATTTAGCCTAGTGGTTAGAAATACCTTGCAATACAAGCGTAGTTGCTAGTTTAATCGCGTACCCACCGGTGTCGGGTGATCGCCACCAGAGTA